CACACACACACACACACACACACACACACACACACACACACACACACACACACACTTATTCTGCAAAATACCTAAAGGCAGGACAAGAAGCAATGAATAGAAAATAATTAAGGAGAGAAAAAATCTGGAATTAAGGAGAAATTTCCAGACAGTTAGAACAATGAATCAGTAGAACAACTTGCCTCCAGAAGTTGTGAATACTCCAACACTGGAAGATTTTAAGGAGAAATTGGATAATCATTTGTCCAAGTGGTGTAGGGTTTCCTGCCTAAGCAGGGGGTTGGACTAGAAGACCTCCAAGGTCCCTTCCAATTCTGTTATTCTGTAATTTTGTAATTCTATTATCCAAAACACCAGAAGGCAGAACAAGAAATAATGGGTGGAAACTAATCAAGGAGAGAAGCAACCTAGAAATAAGAAATTTCCTGAAAGTGAGAACAATTCAGTGGAATAGCTTGCCTTCAGGAATTATATGTGCTCCATCACTGGATGTCTTTGAGATGGGACAATCAGTTGTCTGAAATGCTTTGGGGTCTCCTGCCGAGCAGGGGGTTGGACTAGAAGACCTCCAAGGTCCCTTCCAACTCTGAGTCTGTTAAATTAACCAGAAATGGAGATTTTGTATCCTGAGTGCAAATTATTTCCTTCAGAGATTTAGCTGATACAGATGTTATATTTTGTTTGGTTCACGTTCAGTAATGGTGAACGTTTTTCTGGTTGGGTGGCACAAGGGCACCCATGTGTGTGCCCATACCCATAATGGAATGCCCTCATCTCCCACACATGTGCGCACAACCCCACACGCTCCCCCATGCGCGTGGGCCGTTGGGCTGTTTTTTGCCCTCCCCGTGTGTGGCATAGGTTCGCCATCACGAGTCTAGGAGGTAAAAGCGATTGCTCACTTAAGTTCTTTTAAAGTCATAACATTTATTGTAATCAACTTTTTTGTTTGCTAATCTTCTAGTTTCGTTTGTAATATTTGTTTTTCTTTCTTTCTGAACTCTCCTGACTGACAGGCGGCACCAAAATAAATTGGCAGAGTGATATGGACTCTCTCACCATTTCTTCTTCTCTTCCGTTGGTTAGACTGCTTGAAACTCTTTTCTCCTATGTCTTTATTTTGTAGAGAGATCTCCTCACCGGCCTATCCTACAAGCTGGGCTCCCGGCTAACAAGACGGTTTCGCTGGGTAGCAATGTGGAATTTGTCTGCAAGGTCTATAGTGACCCTCAGCCCCACATCCAGTGGCTGAAGCACATAGAAGTCAATGGAAGCAAGATTGGACCAAATAACTTGCCTTTTGTTCAAGTCTTGAAGGTAAGGTCTTTCCACTTGGGTGATGTGACCCTTCAGTTAATCTGGGGCTTATTTTAGGAGGGGAAGCTCATGATGCATCTCAGAAACATAGCCATGTAGCTTGGATTGGAGAAGTAATATGGGTCCAGTCAATCAGACAGACTATTCCAGACTCATCTAAGTTTGGAACTTGGTAGTTCTAGCACAGTGTTTCTCAACCTTGGCAACTTGAAGATGTCCGGACTTCAACTCCCAGAATCCCTCAGCCAGCATTCGCTGGCTGGGGGATTCTGGGAGTTGAAGTCCGGACATCTTCAAGTTGCCAAGGTTGAGAAACACTGTTCTAGCAAAATCTGCCAAAGGGAAGCAGGTTCTGAAGAAGATCTACTTGGATGAAGCTCACATGCCATGGTTTATGTCTATGATTATGAACAGAATCAAAGGCAACCATCAAGTTGGCCTTGGGACTTCTTTTATTTGAGGCTCTCCTCATCAAATGTTAACGATTCTGTTAAATATCTTTGTACGCCAAGAAAAATTCATGGAGTTTTCCAGTATCTTCTGGTAAGGCTGCCTCTGTGGAACCCAACTGGGCCACACAGCTGTAAAATGAACACACTTGCTTCTTTGGCATATGCTAGGGAGGCAGCCTTTCAGCTGAGGTTACGGGCAGACCTTTGGAAGCATGTGGCGTGATGCATTCACAAAATGGCTGCCACTGAGGGCTTCACCATTGACAAAGCAGCATATAAATATAATAAATAAATAAATATAGCTATGCCGCCGAGTATCACAGGCGAATACTATTTGTTTATCAAAAAGACAAACTAGTCGCCTGAAAGGTTCTCAACATCCCTGGAGGGCCTCAAAAGACTTTTGGTTGATGAAGATGATCTGGGACCGTTGCTGTGCCATGCAAAATGTCAGATTTCTACTTTTGAAATGTAAACAAAGAAGAAAATTTTAAAAGGGGCAGGGAATCCGTTTGAAAGTGTTAATCTTGAGGCACACCAAGGCTATGTTTAGGAATAAAATTGCTGTCCAGGAGCTTCTTATTTTCACTGATGCCTGCTACAAGGTATATCTTAAGCAAGACAGGCGTATGATATAGTTCGGCGGTCACCAACTGGTGATCCGTGAGAAAATTTTGATGGTCCGCAGAAAAATCATTTTTGCATTTTTTTATATTGTACTAAATCAGGTGTCCTCAAACTGCGGCCCTTAGGCTGGATACGGCCCGCTGAAGCAATTACTCCCGCTCGCTGATGGGTTGGGGTCCTTCAGGCACTTAGCTTGGCTGTTGTTTAGTAGCTCCAGCCCTTCCCTTCCTCCCTGGAAGGCCAGGCGCTTCAGTGAGCGGTGCACAAAACTTGGCTGTATTTGAGATTCCTAACCGCAATGGAGAGCAAATCTAGGGTTGACCCCGGGCGCTTCTCTCTGCTAACAGGTGGCCAAGCTAAATGCCTGAAGGACCCCATCCCGTCACTAATTCATATTAGTGGTCCATGGGATTTAAAATTTGACTTTATTGGTCCCTGAGGTCTGAAAGGTTGGTGACTCCTGATCTAGTTTGTGCTCCTAAAGAGGGCTTTCCCAACCGTGGCAATTTTCAGACGCGTGGACCTCACCTCAACTCCCAAAATTCCCCAACTGCCTGGGGAATTCTGGGAATTGAAGTCCATTCTTCTTAAAATTGCCAAGGCTGAACACCCATAGAGCTTTCTCAGAAATGAGAGATGCCAGCAAAGGGAAGTGGGAAGCAAACAGGGAATGTTCCACTCCTTGTTTTAGATTGAGACAAGGGGAGGCGGGGATGTGATTGTCGGTGTTGTCTCAGCGCTGCAAAGCCCAGCCCTGGCTGCCCAGTGACTCCTGTGTTGTTGGTCTTGTTCTAGCACTCGGGAATAAATAGCTCTGATGCGGAAGTGCTGACCCTCTATAATGTGACAGAGGCTGAAAGCGGGGAGTATGTTTGTAAGGTTTCCAATTATATTGGTGAGGCTAACCAGTCTGCGTGGCTGACCGTCACCAGACCCGTGGCTGAAGGTAAACGGGAAGAATGCCACTTTGGGCGATTCTTAGCGGTGGAAAAACCGAAACTTTGGTGGCTCTCCTGTGAAACTTTCTCCTCTGTTTCTGGTGCCATAAAGCCATGGAAAAATCCTCGGAATGGCTGATCAGTTACGTTTCATGCTCTTCTTTTCTTCCTCTTCCTAACAGTGTGTCATTTCATTCATCCTGAGCAGGGGGTTGGATTAGAAGACCTCCAAGGTCCCTTCCAACTCCTATTCCATTCTATTCTATTCTTAATCCTCTTCCTTTATGAATTAAACTAGAAGTGAGAAACTAACGTGTTTCCCTGAAAATAAGGCAGGGTCTTATTTTCTTTTGACCCCTCCCCCTGAAATAAGCACTTGGCACTTATTATTTTTGAGGTGCAGGAGGCAGCGAGCGTGGTCACCTCATGGCTGCTGCTGTGTTGCAATATTTTCAGGAAGGGCTTATTTTGGGGGGAGGGCTTATTTTAGCGCATGTGATCAAAAACCTGATTGGGCTTATTATCCGGGGAGGTCTTATTTTCAGGGAAGCAGAGTATTCCTAAACATCTTCTGCTTGAACACCAAATTGTGGGGTTGTTATATTTTTTTCCCCTCTCCATCGGGGCCCTGTTATAAGCTGCTCAGAAGAATAGTGATAATGATCTCATTTCTTCCCAAATTATTAAATATTTCAGTATCGCCATCTCAACCTAGATCTCCTTTTGGGCAGCAAAAATCAAAACCTCCTTCAGAGGAAGGGCACCTTTGTGTGGGTGTTTCACTGTTTTCCCCATTGCTTTTAACCTGGCTGTCGATGATGCAAAACTTTTAGTGGGCCTAATTTTGAATTCTGCAACTGTCTTCACTTTTCCAGCCAAAAGAAAATGGTGGCTCCTTTTGGGTGTCTTCCTGTTGGAAGCAACCCTGCTCCATCTTGTCTTTCAAGAGTCTTGTTGGCTTCTGTCCTCCAAACCTGCTCTCTTCTCTTCCCCGTCCACTTCCATCCATCCCTTGACCTGCCCCACGCTGTGAAACCAAACTGATCTTCGCCTTCCCAAGGTCCATTTTTCCATGTGGCCCATCCCCCAGCATGTCGATGGGCAGGGAAATTCAACATGGTGAAGGGTTGTTTTATTGTTTGTTTTTAACACTGCCCGCTTTAAGCCAGCCTGGACTGGTGGTTGCCCTAAGAGCTGTCTTGCCCTTAGGCTACAGTGGTGTCTCTGTGTCCTTCAGGAGATCTCGAGACGCATGTTATCTCCTTCCTCTTCCTTCAGCTTGTCTTACATTTGCTCGTCCTATTTTCCTTTTTTGTTTTGTTTTGTTTTGCTTCCATTTTTTCCTCCCTTTCTAGACAGCTGGTGTTAACACAACTGACAAAGAAATGGAAGTCCTTCACTTAAGGAATGTCTCCTTTGAGGATGCTGGGCAGTATACTTGTTTGGCGGGTAATTCTATTGGGATCTCTCATCACTCTGCATGGTTGACGGTTCTGGAAGGTATATACCGGTTCTGTTCCTTTCTCTGTCTCCTTGCTGTCTCTTTTGACTAGCTTTGGGAAGTAGTTTGCCATGGTTTGCAAGAGCCAGGCAACTTGGAGGTAGAGGAGGAGGAGGAGGAGGAGGAGTGCTAGAGGGCCCCCACCAATTGACTTCCTCTTATGGATGGGATGGTTAATCAAAATGTGTCGGCCAGCCCCTGTAGTTCCTATCATCCTGAAGGTAAGCCATCCCCTTCCATTTGGTCCTATTTCCTCATCTGCTAAATTGGGATAATCCACAACAGCATCGTGGCTCTCGCAGGCCAAGGTCTTGTGCATTTCTGATTTGAGTTAGAACTCAACTAGAAGCTAGATCCAAGTTTTTCATAGGCCGGTTCCATTCTTTCAAGCAAGGCTGTCACCCTTTCTGTGCTTTGCTTTGTCTTTGGCAGAGAAAAGGCAGAGTTGGCACACAGGGCCCAAAGGTTCAATTCCAGGAGATATACGAGATGGAGTTGGCGGTGATAGGAGGCCAGCCAAATAGCAACAGCCCTTAGACTTATATACCGCTTTATAGTGCTTTCACAGCTCTCCCTAAGTGGTTTAGAGAGTCAGCCTCTTGTCCCCCAACAATCTGGGTCCTCATTTTACCCACCTCAGAAGGATGG